CCCTGATGTGACCAAACCAGACTTGGAAAAAAGAGGAGAAAAAAAAAAAAAAAAAGAAATAAAGGTAAAGGGGAAAAAAAAAGAAAAAGGTTGTGCTGGAAGTAAATGCTGGTGACACTCGGTTGGTTGGGATTATTACCTGGAATATCTAAGACTGAGTAGCTCTTCTAAAATTGGTTCCCTTCCCCTCCAAGCACCCAAAAAAGATTGCAGCCTACTTTGTTGGGGTTTTATATATGCTCTAGGCCTACATTCTGAGTCTTTTAGAAGCTGTTGTAGGCATCTGTCTTAGGGGTTGGCCAAGCAGAACTTCTGGTCTTGAGTATCAGTAACGTGGTGCAGAAAATATTCCACCTTATTGGTGAAATCTTCAGCTTTGGGCTGAGAATTTGTTCATTAGTCATTTACTGGAATAAATATAATTTCTCTTTTTCTAATTAAAACTCTAAGTTAGCTCTTTTTATTTTCCTTTCTACCAAAGAAAAGCAAGTGTTGCCAGCTTGAGGTGATCCTTATAATTTCTTTGAGGGCATCCTAATCCTCCACAAGTACTTAACTCGTAGAAAAAGATCAGATTACTCTGCCAACAGACTTCATAGTCGAGGTTGACCAAGATCAAGGGAAACACAATCAGCACAAACTGTACTTGAAGAGTTCCTCTGAAAATAACCCAGCTTGATTTTGGTTGGATTTCAGATCCAAATACTTTAGATTTATTGCACTGTTAGGGGTATAATCAACTAGACTTTCAACTTAGAAGGCAGATCACTGCTGAAAATTTGTAAGCATTAGGACTTATAAAGCTATGAGTCTGGCGTTTCTGTTATTTGAAAATCCGGTGACCTTAAAAATACCATGCAATCCATACTAATGATAAGGAAAAGGGAACACAAAGCTACAAATAACCATAGACTAAAAAGGGGTTATGAGAAATTTCTTTAGGTTAACATGAAGCCTGAGCACGAATTTTATGTAAATTATGCTGGAAATGGCAAAAAAAGGATAAATTTAGGCTGCTACAGAGTAATACATTGCTATGACCAGACTACTTGTTCAAATAATAAAATAAACCATTTAATTTTTCATTTTTTAGGTTATTCTGATGCTTTTTCTTCCAAAGAAAATATGTATACTGCTACTAGAAAAGAAATTAATACAGGGTGCAGGCCACATCAAGGTTGTGTTAGACTTCAGTGAGAGCTCGCTCTTCAGAGTAAGGGGATTGAAGTGGTAAGGAAACTTCCCAACCTGAGCATTTGTGAAATTCCCTGTCAGTCACAGTCCCAGCACCAGCAACTTTCACTGCTGGGACCGAAGTCCCTCCACATCTCCAGTGAGCCCAGGGGTGCCCCACACACCCTACTCACAGTCAGACCAGGTTTCCTGACTGGTTAAACCCAGGTTTCCCATAGCAAAATCCAAGATGTCCCATTCCATAAAGCCATTTATTCACAGTGCAGTAACACAGAAACAGCCTGGGCTGGTGCCTCTGAGGAGAAACCCCCCCAAAAATGAACCCCATGGCTTTTATATCCCCACAGTCTACCCAGGCAAATGTCTTGCTCTCTTCCCTGAGTTTTTGGCTTCTGCTGTGTCTCCCACTGTCCATCCACCTGGCTGGCACCATCCTCTTCATGCTCTTTGTTAACCTAGGTGTTGAGAATTCATGGCTTCTCGTCTTGGGCTCTACTTAGATCTCATCTGCATCTCAATCTGCACCTTGCAAATAGATGCATCAGTCCCTGCACCAGATACATTCCTCAATAATCCTCCTTTTGATTTTATTGAGCATTCCTGATAATGTACTAATAGGAAAGAAACAAACATTCAAGTCATTTATTCTTTGCCCTTATATATGACACTTTTTACAAGTAACAAATGCACTGATTTAGGCTAACAAGTGTATTCCTCAAGAGAAATCTCCATCAGCCCTCAGCTTCACACAGACACCAACTCACGTGCTCTGTGCAAACTGCTTAGCCTTAGTGTGGAATATCTTAATTTTAATATCTCTGAGCAAAAGCTTAAAAATGCTTTTTGCAAGACTATTCAGGGTTGTTGATTGAAAGCTTCTGCCAGTTTGTAAGAACAAATGAACTAAACATTCTCAATATAACAGAAAACTGTAGCTTCAGTAGTCAGTTGTTGAAGAATTTAGGTTGTTTAATATACCATATATAAATTTTTTGTAAACAAATATAAAAAGATTTCTTGTTAGAGCAGAAACCTCTTAAGTTTCATAGTAGACAATGAAGCCTAAGGTTTACTATTTCCTGCAAATTCCTTGATGTCAAAATCAGAAGAGAGTATCACACATCAGAGTAATATGTTTTTTGGTAGTAACCAGAAGCACTTATCAGTAATTATATCTGATGCTAGGAGGTGGACAGAAGTTACAGAATGATCAGATACTTTATACAAGTGTTGTCAATGGGAATGTTTCTTGGCATTTCTATGAAGGTATTTTGTGAGTTATCTGGATTTGTCCAGGTGCTGAACTGTTCAACAGGATCCTTGCATTTGGCAAAGGCGGCAGCTGTGCTCCTTCTATTAAGGATGCACTTCTAAAGAGGTGCAATTTTTTTCTTCTTTGTCTAGTTAATGAGAAAGTATGAAGTATGAGCTAAAGACTCACTGCCCCAGGTAAAAGAGGTCTGGTTACACCCTACTTCTGGTTTCTCATCCTCTGGTTGTCTGCTGATAAGAGTCAAGGAAGTCAAGGAAGATGTAAGTTCAATGTTGCTAAATTTTGTAACCCTAGCTCAGGGACTTTTGGTAGTGATATTTGCTTGATCATAGCTGTGTGGTATGATGTAGTCACAGAAAGTTTTTTGCTTCCTGGTCATGTAACAGTGATTAGAGGACATCCAGCCACAGGTGAGCAAATGTGGCAGCTGTTTCACTGCTGTTTTTCACTTCCCTTGCGCTTCCTTGTAAGCCCTAGTTCCTTATAGTCACATAGAGGCATATGTTATACAGTAAATTATTTTCTGAGCACCACTTGCAGCATTTTTGTTTCTACCCTCAGAGGTTTTCTCCTCTGTCTCATGAAAGCAGTTGTTTCCACCTTGTCTTGAGCATCTATGTCTTTTATCTTTTTCACCATAACCTTTCAGTGCTCTTCAAGGCTAACCATATTGCACAGATAGTGAATGTTCTGATGGATAATCCTCAAAGAAAGATGTCTGTAATGCTTTTGAGCCAAGCAACCTCAAGGTTTTGTCTTCAGTGTAACAGCTGCCAAAATTTAGATGGTGTGAATACCTAAGAAAATTAGTATCAGGTGTTTGGGGCCTTTTAACAGAATAATGTAGATGTGGCCTTCATAGGCCTGCCAAACCACATATCTTGCCAGCAAGTTTTCTTCATGTGAACCATGTCAAAAGTACTTTCAGACAAAATATAAGAACAATTGACCGTGATATAAAAGGCTCCAAAAGAGTTCATATACCAAATATTTGTACCATGCTGTTAGGCTGAAAGCAAACTGGTCAAAGAGTTTTCAATCAGAAAATGAAAACTTTGTTTAGCTATAAATTTCCTAGTAGCTGTTTGCCACATGATTGGAAAGAGATAAAAGAACACTCAATGAGGGGTAACAGAACACCTTGTTCAGCTGTTCTGTCACTCTTTTTCTCTAATGTTCTTGATTTTGCAAGACATTTATGTTCATGGGTCAGTGTTTTGCTGAGCTGAAGTATATACTTAAAATAACAACACACTTCATAATTAAACGTCCTGCAAAACAAAGTAGTTTCATGTACTATCTGGACTCTGGCTCTGAGGGTAGCTCCACAGTTTCTCACCAAGATTATTATTTAGAAATGCACTTACAATCATCATGTGACCAAGAGGAAGATAATAATTTTATATGCACATGAGTGTACACTCAAAGTGCTAGGAGTCTAGGCAACTGTTACAGCTAAGTGAAAACTCAGAGCTTCTCTGACAGAGCAAAAGGGCTCCTCATACTTGGAAAACTATCCAGGTTCCTTTGAGTTACTGTCTGTGAAATGCATGCTCTAGTTTCAGGCCCCTGTTTTTAAAGCTGGCACATAAATGTTGACTCATGGAGGACTTGATGCTCTCTCCTAAGAGCAGAGCCTGCTGTCAGGGCCCTGGCAGCCCATGGCCACCGGTGTGCCGGGTCAGTCACTGCGGGCTGGGCTCTGCCGGACTGTGCTCGCCATCTAGCGAGATACCAACAGTGGGATCACACAGACTGCCATCTAAAACAATTACAAACCTTTGAAACATATCTAAGGAAATCCTCTCTTTTCTGCAGAAAAGGAAAGCTTGTTTATGGAAAGTTAGCCCTTCTTTTCATTTCCACCAATAAAAAGCTCCTAATGTCATAAAGTTACTGAATATAGTAATCAAGTGTCACAATTCAATTTCAACAAAGGCTTGGCACACTGCTATTATATATTTAATCATGTACTACAGAAATTAAAAGTACTTTCTGAAAGAGTAATTATGTCCTCCTAAAGAGTTATCTTTTGAAGAGAACAAGAAGAGTGGATTTTATTTTCAGAAAAACAACCACTGCTGTATCTGACCTGATCCAGTGATACATTTACATGAAAGTAACAAGGCAGATTAAAATAATGCCCTGTAAGTTTAAAGTGATCCCGGCTCTCTTTCACTATGGCAACATAAGCCCCAATTTTGCTGTGTAATATACTTTGCTGTACTGTCTGCAAGATGGTGTCTAAATCCATCTCTCTGCTTTTCCTCTCCTGTTATCTGTGTTGCTCTTATGACATTTCCCTTAGTAAGTTCTCTGAATCTTTCTCTTACTCCTGTATGTATGCCATCTTCCATGTCACCATTATCTCTCCTTGAAAATCTGTACCAGTTAAAACAATATCCCCTTGGGAATTCTGTCAACAAGGAAACAATTATTTGGAACAAAGCAATCAGCCATGAGACTGCCCAACTGCAGGTACTGGTACACTCAGGATTATCTCTCAAAAAGCATGTGTTACTTACAAAGGCAGGCAGTCTTCCGAAGGTAAAAAGTCCCTCAAATCAAAATAAACCTACCAAACAGAAACAAACAAACAAAAAAATCCATACAGGGGAAAACATAGCCTCAAATTAATTTATATTTTTTGTTTATTTTGTTTTTATTTGGAGTTTTGTTTGTTTCATTTTTTGTATGAGAAATTGAAATTATTTAGGACAATCACAAATCTTTTTAAAACACACACCTGTGGTGAGCCTTGTTGTTGACAGTGTTTCATTTGATACATTATAAATGAGAATGGTTTATAGACAACATTTCATGATATGAATCTAGAAGTACCTGACAAGCATAGCCTGATTGTCACAGATATCATATGCACAGGTCCCTAATTTACATGAAAGGATTTGGATGACTGCTTCCAGTATAATTTTCAAGTTCCTGCATTAGTGCAAAAGATAAAATACAGTAGATTTTGTTAGTGGTGGTTTTCATTTAAACGAACTTGAGGAATCACATTTGTACTGGAGCCTTAGTTTCAGAATTTCCTTAGCTTTGGAGGTTCTCTTTCTACTGAAAATAGACTTTGCTCCTCTCAAGGATCTAGCTGTACCTTGACAGAGTCTCAGCTGGTCTGGGTGTCCATGAACATGAAGGAACCAAGGATTATGACACGTAATGTCACACACAATGTTCTTATTGTAGGCAAACCCTCTACAGTTTCTACACCTTTGTAGAAAAGGAATTATCCTGACATATGAGGTGCAACAAACAGCACAGCCTCTTGCTAGGAAATTTTTCAAAGCCATATTGTTGATAAAAATACATTTCTAGGTTCTATCTATGCATATTGACCTTCAAACAATAAATTCATGTTCACTATGGAATATAATCTGTATGTGGGTTAAATAGAATGATAATATGACTGAGTTTTTTGTATATTCTTATACACTTGTAGAAAATTTTGGTTATTTGTCTTTTTATTTGAATATCTGAAGATATTTTTAGACCCCTGGATGTATCAGATTTGCATCAGCTGTGCTGTTTAATAGATGGGCCTATATAGGTTTTAGGCCTCTTTTAGTTACAAAAATGGAAGCCATAAAGCAAAGACTCTCTGTAAAATAGAAAAATTACTAATCTTCTAAGTTGTTAACAACAACAACAACAAAAAAACAAATCAAAAATTTATACATAATTTATAGTAGCTTATTTTTGTTAGCATTTCTTTTGTATTCTTGAAAGTGGCTAAGAAATGTAATGTTATCAGAGTTCTGTAAAGGTAATGGCTTCATAATACCAGACCATATAGTTATAAGTAAAGGAAATTGAAGAATATCTCTGTGAGACCTGGAAAAACAAAGCATGGTTTGGCTGCACTTTCATCCAATTTAGCAGCTCTGACTCTCAGAGAATCACACAGAGAGAGCTAAGAAAAAGTGTTGTTGGACTTTTAATGTACTTTCACCAGACCTAAATGCATTCCCTCACACATTCTTTTAATGTGGCTAGACATTGATTCACTAGTCCATTGATAACTCATTCACTTAAAACTATGTGGGCTCACAGCTGTCCTCTTTTTTTAAAAAAAATTCTTCTGGTCATATTTTATACTTAGAAGGCCTCATATCTGTTGGAGTTTTAAGGGTTTCTGGATGTTAGTATAGCAATACAAAAATGACAGAGGATCATCCTATTAAAGCCATAGATACAAATCTAAGAGTGATAAAAAAAAAAAAAAGACAAGTTACTTAAAGTATTTAGAACAGTTTTCCAAAATTTAGAGTCTGAGATCAGATTCTCAATCGCGATCACTGAAATCAATCCAAATCAATCAATACAAAAATAAAGATTGCAATTAACAATCATTACAGTGTCCTGGGTAATTTTAGAGTGGCTTGATTATTTTTTCTTTTAGTTTCTCTTGTACAGTCTGATGGGGTCAATAAAATTATGTGAGATTATCGTTTGCTCTTGATGAGATGTAGTCATTTTACCATTGGGGTCAGCAAGTGCTCTCTCATTTAACATTATGCAGAAGTTGTGCATACATAGGAAGGAATGCTGTGCAGTAGGAGTGACTCTGAGGTGTATTTTGGGGGTATATATTTCAGGTATAAATTAGCCCTGGACCAGTAGACTATAAGGCTATTAATAACTGAAGCCCATTAGATGTGGTATTAAAGGGTATTTAATTTAAAATGATTCCATAACTACTGGCAATGGTACTGTTATGCAGTGTTAGCCTTTCCCTAACTTCTTAGTAGAAGATTTTTGATTTCCATGCTACAGTATGCAGATGATAAGAATAACATTCCCAAAAAGATTTTGTTGAGTGGGACCTGAACAACAGAATTGTAATGCAAATTAGGGAAGAAATAAAACCCTGCAGCAAAGAGGAAGTTCTGCAAGTGCTGCTCAAACATTAAAAATTTTAAGGCATATTGTCATTGTATTTTATACCTTCCAAAAATACATGACCTGTGTTCTAACTAGAACAGATTCATTACAACCCCTAATAAAATATTCTATGTCAACCAAGTGCAATAAACAGGACCTAAGAATCCTATTTGGAAGAATACTTTTTAAATCTACTCAATAATGTAAAAATTTATTGATTTTATTTAAATTTGTACAAAGATTTAAATAAGCAATAAACCCTAGACTCCAATAAGATTTACATCTCCATTTTAAAAATGTTCAGTTCTGAGATTTCATTTTTTATTTTGAAGCATGTCAATGGTACTTTTCCCTTTCCAAAGATGTTTTTTGTATCCTTTCCTTCAAATCCACATGTGACACCTCTACATTCTATACTGCAGCACATAAAACACTGTAGCTTAGGGTATCTGTATCAGGTCAGCCTTTTTATCAGGGGATTATATTCTTTAAAGGAAATGCAGAAACAATCTATGCATTTTGCATCTGTTATTCAATTGGCAAGGTGTATAAGAATGTTTCACCTTCTGCCTTGAAAACAGGCTGTTTTTCTTCTGGTACACCCAGCAATAAGTTGAGAAAATATCCTGCTGACAGAGCTTGAGGGAAGAAGTAAATGAGCATTTCTCTCAAATTCATCTTTGGCAGCAGAGTAAGCAACTATAATCTAATGGCATCTTGTGTAAGTGATTTTATAAGATTTAATTTTTAGAGATCATTTTCCTGTTATAAAACACATATAAGAAATAAAAATATTAGGAGAAAGAACTGTAGCTTTAGCATAACTCTTATGGTTTCTCTGACAAAATATTTTTTCCCTAGTTTTTCTCCTTTTGGAAACATATTTAAAACTCATACCTGTTATAAATTGTCTTTTTGAAAGGCACAGGATGGGAACACCTCCCCCATAACTTCTTAGAATATAGCCACTTGCAAAACCTCTAAAATGGAAAAATAACTTTTTTTTTAAAAAAAATTGTCTTTAGACAAACAACACTCATTATAACTAGTGCTGAAAATTATAAAATACCCTGATACCAGGAAGTGTGTTAGCTCCTAGTCATAGAACACAAAATAGTCCTTATCTGTTGTGATCTTTTTCATGGTAACTTGTATAGCATGTGAACAGAGGGCTATACAAATGCACTTGGTATAAGCTTTGTTAGTTTTTCAAGAACAAAGTGGTGAAAATTAATTTAAAAACAATTTTCAGACATGAGAATTCTTATTTAAAATACTTTTAAAATATTGAAATTTGTACTGGTGACACTGATATGTAGCTTTTCAAGATATGTGAGTAGATGTGGTAACACAATAATTTGTGGATTCATGCTATTATGTTCTCTTTGTCTAAGGCTGGGAATAGAAATTACATTGATTAGCAAAATAATTCTGAGAGCTTTCACCTTGTTTTTGTTGCTAAGGTAACCATTTCCTTGGCATCAATGCATCCAGCAGGTCTGTCTTACTTTCCTGTGAGCCCAAACAGAGACAGCATTGTGGAATGGCATGAGGGGGGCAAAAACCCACAGAGATAAATAAGGAGGAAAGGATCAACAAAAGTAGCTGAAAGTTAATACAGGGGTTTTGCCTAGTTGAATTGAATTAAGTCTTGTTTCTGTGTAGGTCAGTTACGGAACTCCGTGTACAGGTAAGCATTTAAGGCTCCAACAAGGCTCCAGCTAAAAGCCAAAGAACAGAAATCTCCACACAAGAAAGCTCCAGATCCTTATCCCTGCCCAGGCCACTGCCCCCCTCCCCCC